GAGTGTAAAAAATAATAAACTGTTCATGTAAATGTATATTTTTTTTCCTTGCTAGAAGCCTGCTTTGTTTGGGGTTCTATTGGATGCCTGTGTGTTAATAAGAGTAGTGATCTAACAGTAGTATTGGAGAGATGCATTTTCCAAAATAAGATAGTGAAGATGTATTGCCTAAAGTGTACATAATAAATAAAATACGTTTTCTGAAGACATAAAGCGTATCAAGAGTGCAGAGGCTATCAGCAATAAATATCTGACTTTAATGATAAAGTTGGTTTTTTACTAGATGGCTTTTAAATGATCAGTAAAGAGTTTGTAGGAATGTTGTCAGGAAAGCCTGTGAAGAATTGTTCCATAACAAAACCTAACTCTTGCACATAATAATTTAAACACTTGAAAGACAAATCATTTGTAAATACAAAAAGCAGTATAATTAAACTGTTCCACTAACATATTTTAAATGACCAAGACTCTCTGCCAAAGTGAGGGTGAAAAATGCCTGGAGTGCAGGTATGGATATAAACCTCAGTGAGAGGTGACTGTATTTCCTTCAGGGTCTAAAACTAACCTCTGAAGTGATAGTTTAGATTTTTGTTTGGTGGGGATTTTGTTTGTTCGTTTATTTAAAGGCATTTTAAGCTAAATGGCAGAATCAATAAGATGAGCATAACAGCTTCTGAGATAAAATTCAAAAAATCTCATGGTTATTTCAGATTAAGCTTTTATTTACTACTATTATTGCAAGAGAGCATTAGAAATAATTGTTGTTCTCATTTCTAATTACACTATTGCATTTTTGTTAATACACTGTGGCAATGCCCAAAGGGATGAAATAACACCGAGGTTCAGAGCTCACAGGTATATTCTGTTTAAAAATAGCGCTGGCACAGAAACAGTTCAGACTTTTTCCTGCTGTATCAGTCTCACATTTACCCTTTTGTTAGATCTATTCTAGTCTGCATGATTCTCCTATGTCCTTCCCAATATCACCTGCACCCTTCTTCTTTGTAAAGAAAATTGCGCTCTGAGTTGCACTGTCCAATGTTCTTCCTCTTGCAATTCCTGCCTTGTCCCTTTCCTTCTTGGAGTGCATGGTTACATCAGTCCTCTATCACAGACAACTGCCAGTGAAGTTGGTAGGTTTTTTGCTACCAACTCAGCCTTCTGCCGCTGTAATATATTAAGTCAAATTGTGGTTTCCTTAGCTTTCCATAAATTCGTATATACTCTCCGTGGTGTTATGCTCTGCTGCCTTTTCTCCCACACCCTACCCACAGTTCCCATCCTTGGCCCGATGGGCTCATGGCTTCCAGACCACTGTAATTCATGGGTTTATTCTTGATGTACATAGTATATAAGTTTGTCCCAAGCGAAATGAAAGACTGCAACCTCGTATCTGTTGTTGGCACTATTGGCTCTGTTTGTCTGGCTGTTTCGCCTGGTCCTCTATTACCCTACCAGCTCCTGTACCTCTCCGTCTGTGCAGTACTGTTTGTCACAGTATTGATCAACTACTTTGCAGATTCTTGAGTGTGGTTGACTGTTCTGTCCTTAACTATAGCTAAGTGCCTATTTTGTGGAGTATACTCTCTCGTATCATCATTAGCTGTAGTGCTGTGTGTTTGTTATGGAGACGGGGGGGAGAAGAAGGAGGACAGTGAATGCGATGCATTGGAATCTGTTCTTGGAAGATGACTGGGCAAAGTCAAAAACAGCCAGAATGCACAACTGATTCTGAGGTGCAATTCATGAAAGAGAAGGTCCAAATAAATGCATTATTATGTGGTTTTGGTTTTATATTATTAGGCTTATTGTTTTCAATTTGATATGTTAATTTGAATCATAATACAGGTTTTCTATTTTCTTCCTCAAACTGTTGCACAATAAAAGTCATGCATGCAGAAGTAATGATTCATACATGTTTCCCTGTTTGAGAGATTACACATTTCTTTCTATTCATATTCTTCCAGGTGACTTGGATTATTACTGGCTGGATCCTGCCACGTGGCACAGCAGGGAAACATCCCCAATTAGTTCGGTAAGAAATAGGGA